TTACAGAATTAGCTGAATTTCTAAGAGTCGAATACTGTCCTATTGGAAAGTCACCATCTTCTTTTTTATTCAATGCTAGAGTAATCTCCGGAAAACTTGAAGCCATTTGGTCATTTAGAAACGATTGACTGTACCTGGTTTGCATAATATCTGCAAAACTCCGTGCACTTCCAGGGACAGGCCATCTAAATGAAGTGCTGATATATTCTGCATCGGATGGCGATTTCAAATATCCCTTGTTAGAAATGATTGCGTTTTCTATATTCTACTGTCATTAAAGTAAAAATTTCATAACAGACTTCACTCGAGGTAATCAATGGTAGTGCAGCAACAAAAGTATAGTGATCTTTTGTGTGGAACGTTTCGGGGACATTTTGAATTGACTCAATATTGACATAAATGATATTCAGTTGTTCATAAACTTCATCATTTAAAAGTGGTTGGTCAACTGAAACTAAAATATCAACAGTTGGCTGAAATAAGAAACGAAATTCAAAAAATAATTATGTCGTACAAGATCGTCAAGAGATGTTGTAGAAAACTGGCTGAATAATTTCAAGTTCAACTCATATTTAGTCGAATTTTTTACTAGTGGTAAGCCATCAAAAGTCGTCTGACCGCACAACTCAGTTTTGGCTTCCTTTTGTTTCTTGTCTTTTACTTTGTGTTCGTAAACAGTCACTGGCCTATCACTTATTTAAATTTATGTAACTTACACACAAAAGGCTGCGAGCACAACGAATCTAAAGACGCAACATCTATGGTGGACAACTCATATTTAAAAATGTGGTCGATTATTAACTGATTATCACTATTCAGATCACATCTTTGAGATTCACCACAGGAGAAATCTCCATGCTCAAGCTTGACTGAATACTTGCTTCCATCACCCAACTTGACCTAAAAACAATATTATCTGTAAAATTTAAACTACGAATTTATGGATTCGTTGCAAATGTATTTGAATAGTTCGCAGACTTATTAGGCCTAAATCTTTCGTCATTTCCAGTCTTGTTTGAAAACGCTACACTTTTTCGTAACTACACATTTTGTCAAAATTATCATTTCAGTTTATACAAACACACAGAACCCATAATAAGTGTACTTTGAATATTACTGACTCATGATATGAAAATAATACTTCGATCACTTTTGATGTGCTGTAAATAAACGTTAAAATGTTAAGTTTTAGTTGATGTAAGCCATATTGAATTTTCGTTAGGTTTTTATAACATGAGTTTAGTTTGGGAGTTTTTATAGCAGCTTGGAATGATGAAGTTATAGTTAAAATTATATTGATAAGCAGTAGTTCATGCAAATATAAAAAACTGTGATGTACGCAAACATTTGGTTTTAAAAAACAATTCTTTCGAAAGGCAGCGTGGATGCTTCGTAGAAAATATATCGATGACTGAATATATACGATTCTTTGAGTTGGTAGGGTTACATCAAGGTGACAGAACAGAACCCCGGAACTTTACGACGATCATTTGGGGCCAAAAATACTTTACCGAATGTTTCTGCTAAAACCAGGAAATCTCTTTCGACCAAAATTTGCCTATCAAATCATACAACCAATCTAAAAAGTCAGAACCAAGAGACTCATCATATGAATCGAACGTCATGCGGCCAAGACTCAAAAACTTCACAGTACAAAAATATTCAACCTAAAGCTTAGCAATAACAAGTCCATTTTTAAACTTAATGTCACATAAAACCACCAAGCATTATCATGCATGACAACCACAAGCATTCAGTCTAAAATTTCTGAGCGAAGTTGTCGGGCTTGGTTCTCACAACACTGGGCACTCATCATTATAGACAATATACATCCAAAGTTCTTTATCTTAAGAGAGGGTTTCTAGGAGGCTGTATGCATTCACAAACACCGATTTTACACACGCACACATACGCCACTGGGTGCCATCACTACCACATTTGATCCATATCAGATAACGTTTCAAAAGCTGATGTTTTGATACTATTTACTGTTGTTTTGTCGTGTTGTAATGCCATCATTTGTTGGTCATAATTCGACTTGGGTCCGACCACAATACATAATCCAATTTGAAATAACTAGGTCTGTAGATAAAAGTTTTATGCTGTCAGTGAAGTGACAACACTATATTATCGATTAGTCTTTGCCAGTGTTTTAAATAATTAACGTGTTTATTCACTAGTTGTTTTTTGTTCCCTAGAAATGAATCTGTGATGATTTGGTGCGAATGCATGACAGAGCGCCTTCAATTATAAATTGCTCAGTAGAACTAATGGAGTCAGTATCAATGTGAAAAACTTTCTTTAAACCCATGGAAAAGTTCAAGGCTACTAAAGAACATGAAAGCTCTTAGCTATTTACTAACAATGCCGCTCTCAAAATGTTTATGGCCATATACTGGGATAACTGTTTAGTGGTTGACGATCACTAAAAATCAATAGTGGTGTGAGAATTTAACGAATACTCTGATAATATGAGTTTTATCGAACACTCTGCTAAATAAAGGCACTTGATCTGGAGCTCCCACTTATCTCAACTCCCCATCAATCACAACTGGTCAGCTTTGAACTTATACTTCATGTACCTCCACATTCAATTCTCATTCACCCTCGACATTTTCATGAAATAACTTGAGTACATACTAACAGAAGATGGTTGGTCACTAGTTTTACCTGATCCCGTTATTTCCAGAACCCCTTCAACTATTTTCCTTCCAATGAACTGGATCTAATACAAGCACTCATAAGTCACATTTTAGTCACTCTTTATAATATCGGTCAGCCATGCCACTTTCTTTACACCTCACTTATGAAGTAGTCCGAATGTCAAGGCATAAGATCATAAGGATCAAACGGTCATCCCCAATGCAACTTCTGTACACAAAAATCATCAGAATAGAAATTGATAACATTACTTGTATAAACTCACGAATAATGACGGTTTTATGGACAATAACTTTTGTCTAAACCATCAGTAAAAAACTTGGCCAATATCATGGTACTGTCCACTGATAAATGACAGTTTCATTAATAGACTGGTTTGATCTGAGGTAATCATAGATCTCGACAAAAAAGGACATATTGTGTCGCTTCGTCACGAGTTCAATGACGCATAAAAATAATCTTGACTACTGATTTCCTTCTTCCATTCAGACTCCATCTGTAAACAAAACTGACGTTGCTCTGAGGAAACATGAATTAGCACCTGGTAAATAAATATACATGTCTTACCGAGATGGTCTTTCTCTCAAGGTATTCATCATCAATTGTAGAGTACTCTAAAAATGTCTTTTATATTTAGGTCACCCTTTCGATGCCTGACAGTGTCATATATTTGATTTTCAGACCGCAAGAATATATGCTTCAAAGGTTTCACAAGTGATAATTCAGAAATCTGCCCTATATATTTTATCCGTTCATAACAGATCACGTACTAATAAATTTGAACAAATTCTTTCCATTATCTGTAAACCATTTATGTGCAACCTAAAAATCAACGGTTACTAGCCAGTATAAAGATATCTGAGAAACCTGGTCAGAAAAATGATATAAGCTTCACAATGAGGTGCTTTTATCTTGAGTCAACAATAGTATTAGAAAAAACGGACCCACACTGGAACGACAACCAAGTTTGAAATGAATTCTGACGATACATTATCTTAACTTTGAAAACCACGAATATTCTACATTGTTGGAATAAGTCTTGTCTTCTCTCGGAGTTGTTAGCTACGAACATCTTTGTGAAATATGATATGACTACTGCAACTTTCTACACAATCTTGAATTAGTACAACCACTTTGATTTACTTTTCAGTTATATATCACAAGCCCCGTCTTCAAAGTTTAAGTTCGCAACTATTTTTATCCACATATTTTTAGTCTACGAATTGCTATCAGTTTGTCTATTTTTACAGGTATAAGTCAACTTCCAGTCTGTGAACATCATTTCGAAGCAACTTCAACCACTATCAGCCATACGTAATCAGAGGTTAATATTTGATCATTGTCTGATTTACCACAGAATTACCTGCTGAAAGTTTTCGGAAACAAAGGGAAAATGAAGAATATGTAAATCTGCAATGCTATAGCCGATTTTGGGTTACACCGTAAAATACCGCACTCGCAGTGGACCGAACCAAGAAGTCCCCACACCGCTCACTGACAGGCAACTCGGAAAGCCAGTTGTCTTCTGATTTACTCCTACATCCGGTAACCTCACATAATGAAGACTTATTACCTCGCCGACCAGCCTCACGTCTTTACTCAATACCCTACTTCAGAACATATAACCCAACCCCAGAAACCGTAATGTCGCCTATTCCGAATGGCTAAGCCTCACGTGCACAAAACAGAGTAAAACGATCTGCTCCACTGTACTCTTATCCTGTATGGCTCACACGTACACAACATACTCCAGACAGATTGACTATACCAGCCAAAATAGTACATTTGTTCAGGTACGAAAACAGACGAATATAAGTCCACTAAGCCTGTGACTTAAACATGATATAACACTAAAGACCTAAATCTTCGTCTGAATTACTGGACACCGACCGGATTATTACTAATTGAATACGCCACCGACTAGGCGGGAGTGGATCATGGAACTGATACATCACTGTGGCTGCATAGCGATTGTAAACACCAATTGTCCTGAATATAAACAGCCGCTAAGAAATAAATCAGAAGTTACTTACATATTGGGGAGTAAAAAAAGCGTTAAAGAACGCTTGGGAATTGAATCGACGAAGAATAAGAACATTAGATAAGTTATCATAGATCAATTAATTGAAAAATATTTTACAGTAGCTAGTAAAATAAAATTTCGAAATCGCAATTTACAGAATGCCAATGTTTCTCAATGATAATACTGATCTTGATAAATTTTTAAGCAAAAATGTACATGAACGGAAGATAATAATCCACTCTGTAAATAGAAATCAAAGTAACCCGACTTCAAAATCAATTGACAAATGTATTAAGATAATCACACCGAAACATTATCACAGACTAGGGAATGCATAATCCAGAAATTTCAAAGCAACTTCGTAACCGAGAAAACATGCCTGAAAAGGTAGAAATCGCGACAAATTGAGATATAATAACTTAGAGCTCACAGAACAGAATAAGTAAAACAAAATATCACAATTACAACTGTTTGTAGTTATAAACTGAATTTTTCAATAATCTCATTTTTAGTAGTGTTGACTGAATGTGCAAATCATACCAATCTAAGCACACTTATTTTAAATAGAAGGATTGGGGCTAGTAGTTGAGTCTTAGACGCGTATTTTGTTCTATTCGGTACTAGTCAGCTGGATGTTATGTTATGAAAATATAATAAACAAAACGCCTTGGGATGAACTGTTCGGAAATAAATCTGAGGCATCTACATACTTCTAAAATGAACTTACACATGATATTTGTTGTTCAGAGTTTCCCCATCAACTAGACTATTGTCGTGCTTATGTAAAATGACACAACAATTGATCGGTGTTAGAGCTATAAACAACTAATGTGTCAGCATCAAGATTATTTTGACTAGCAATGAGTAAATATCTCGAGATACAAGAAAGTGACTAGTGAAGAGCGACAATATTTTCCATTTGTACACTTGAAAACTTGTTTTATCTTAGTCTTTTGGTGAAAGTAGCGTAAATAGAACAAAATCAATGCACTTTCCAGATACGGATATAACCGATGATCGTTGGGAAGTAAATGATGTAAATTCTTTCCTGGATTTCGCCATTTATAGAAGCGATCCTCAACTAGTGATAAACAACTATTAAATGAAGTTCCAATTTACATTTTTAACAGGTCATAGCGAGTACAGTTCGAGTTCCAGAAAACTTGTCTGTTTACATCTTAGTGGTAGAAGAGATGATATATGAGAATCCAAACGACACCAAATAATTATTAATTTTAAAGGTAAAATATAAACCACTTATAAAAACAAGATATTACGTTTCAGTTGATAATACAATCAAAGCTTACAGCATTTGCAGGAAATGCTCGAAGCATCACCGGAGTCATACCCCGATACAATCCCAAAAAGCCTTCTTTTGCAATAAGTTCAGAGAATACCGACCGAATTCCATTGGGATAAACACCCTCAGAAGCTACATTTAAGATATCAGAAAATTTAAATTCAGAAAACTCCATTATGGGATCATTCCACTAGAGCTTTAACTAAAAGAAATCATTACGCCATCTAAGCTTTGATAGTTAAAAACATCAAAGTGTGGTACTTTTTATGAAATATTGGAGATATCAAAAGCGAACATTTTTTGTCTAATATAGGCAAGAATATATCACCATCCAAAACCTATAAGTACTGAGAGTTTATCTTGTGGATAAATTTTGTAGACTGTGAGGTAATTTAAAACAACACTGAACATTCTTTCTGATACGAATAAGAATTATGTCTAATAAATTAACTATTAATATCACTTACATGTCAGTGACCTATCCTGTTATCCGCTAAATGTCATTTAATCATGTTTATTTCGCGTTAACATTTCGTTTTATTACAAATGATGACTTCCTGGAAACTTAAGATACTTTTTACGATAACAATTTATTTAGAGCTTGTATCAGTAATTCAGTCACATGAGGAGCTATTAGTGGTTGTGCTAGAGATGAAGTAGATAAATTTATCCACATCGGCCAGGTTGTTTATTAAAAACTATCACAAAACAAATGGAGTAGATAAAAAAACTAATTATACATATATCAAACTGATAATCATTGCTATTTCCACTTTTCGGTCGCCTACATTTGATGTTATATTGTCATTTGATACGATTACGATTGTAATCAGCTGAAGGTAATCTACCAAATAAAATGAACCCATATTATCCATATTCTTATTTTATTAAAGTTGATTAAGTGAAATAACTTTATAAAATTATTAAATAAAGGATTTTTTTAATTACATCTAACAAAAACTATTCCAACTTATTTAGATGCGGAGCGATGGCTTAGTGGTCAAGGCGTTCGAATTTCGGCTATTAAGTCTCATGTTCAAACCCTACTTCAGATTGGGTAATTAACTAAGTAGAATCATTAGGTTTCACACCTAGTGCACCTCACCAAATACCTAGTGAATGAAGTAACTTTAATGCGTCAAATTTCAGAACTTATTTCAATGTAAACGAAAAATTATAAAGAATCTAGTTAGAACATTAAAAACAAATCAAGGACGTGTCAAATTATGGTAGAACTAGTAAAGTACACACAACAGATGTTTAGTAAAACAGCTTCATGATGATTCTGACTAACTTCTTCAAAGTAAACACGTTCTCAAAAATTACCTAATTGTTAACAACCCGTTATATCCTTAAAGAATTATAAATCCACGTTTGTTTATTTAAAAATAATTCGTTTCACACTATCCTTACAACTGTTACAATTGTTAAGAACACATTTAAACATCAAGAATCAACTGAGATTAGAGTATACAATTGAAATGAAAACCTATAAACATAAGGATCTAAACAATATACGCCTGCATCATATACACATGTTCATGGTCATAACTCTTATCGATATTTGAAAAAAATCAAATCCAATAAATATTATATAAATAACAATAATATTATTTAACTACGAGGAATGTATTAGATATTTCAGTGTTGGTCATAGGAGAACAAAGACTACAAACAGATTAACAGCTAAGAACATGTGAAATATAAATAAGGTGATCATCAGATTATGATAAAAATCATGTTTACAGGTATAGAAAACCGAACAAAATTTACTAATTAAGAAATCACCTACTGTAATCTTGCAAAATAATCTGAATCTGTAAATCTCAAAATAAAACGTACCACTCTGTAGACGAGATTTTAAAACATCGGGAGGAATAGCTACTAGCCAGTTGAAGATACCTGCCATACCACCGGCAAAGAGAGTTTTACCAACACTCAATTCATTATTCCTGGTAAACGATAAATAGAAAAGGAAACTAACTTTCGATTGAGACGAAATGAGAATAATCGAGATGATTTGCAGAAAAAAACTTGCATCTGCTCCATTGAGACTCACTTTGAACGTACTTTTCGTCTTTAGCCCCTTACTTTTTTACCTACAAGACCTTATTCAAAAAACAAACACTTATCTCAGACCGACTCAAATACAAAATCACTTTATGAACTACTGGGGACAACACTGATCTTCTAATGAGCAACCATATATCTCACATATTATGAATAGCCTAAATTGGAAAACTCAAACAAGACTTCATCAATGCTGTGGACAGTGGGTTGTATAATCTTCCTGATGATAGTATAACTATGATTATATGATTAAAATAGACTGCCACTCTTGTGATACTGAGTAAAGGTTTATTTAGTAGTTGTCATTAGGTTATCAAGGATGTCTTCATAGCAGCAGTTTATCAAACAGGAACAATCGTGATGTGGGTTCACCATTATCAACCTTCATATAATGAATCAACTCGGATTAGTAGATAAATCATTTAGATCTAGTTTATGAAAGTAGATTTCGCCGTTAAAAATGGTGAACAGTTTATCGATAACTAGTGGTTCAGTTCCAGTATCACATTTAATCCAGTAGAGAAATTTGCATTAATCCAGAGCTTGCTGTTATACATATTTATGAAGACTATAGAAGCTACCCAGGAACAGAGAAAATGACGTTAAAATACTCGGGTTTTGGGGTCTGTCCTTATGTTTGGATTGTAACTAATTTGAGGACATGGACCTCCCCTTACAATCTGAGGTATCAATTCTGTTAGTGATCCATTAAATATCAGATTTAAATTGACAGCTCTGAATGCCCCCTAACCACGGGAACATCCAGCAAATACCTGCACCACATGTTGTCAACCTTTTCCACCCCATGTTTTAATATTTAATACTCGGTGTTTCTGATGCATCTACACAATGCTACTTACCTATCTTCTCGAGAAGGAATAATCAGAGGAACTGGTTAAGATAGTATCAAAACAGTAATTGAAAATTTAAAGACGCTCTATGAATTTGAACCTCTACCAATACAATATCTTGTACAAACTTTCAGAGGACCAAAAAAGTTAACACATACTTCCAGAACACTGACTCCTGCGGAGAAACGCTGTGGGGAAATTGCGAAACGAGCCAGCAGAAGTCGTCACAGTATGAAATATGGCAGAGTTTATCAACCGGTTATAAAACCTTGTTAGCCACTTTTGGTCTTAAATCAATAAAATCTCTATACTTTGAAAATCGACTGCAGTTCTGAGTAATAATTTTATGGGTATTTTTAATAAATAGTACTGATTACTGAAAAGTTTGATTATGCAGACACTATCCCGCATAGTGAATAATCACCCGATCGCAGGTGAAGTCCAAGTCACTTTAATAGAAGAAAAACCTACTTCACTGCCTAGTTGAACTGGCCTTTGATGTCGATTCATTTGTGTCTCGTATAATTGCACATCGTTTATCGACCGGTATTTTCTGTATTTATTTTAACAAAGTCCATTACAATGCACCTAAGATCAGCCTCCTTATCAGTAACCTAACCTACTAAACTTACAGAATTGTTTGACAAAGTTACAGGTAGAATATAATGAAAAAGTAATTTATCTTACTCGAAAATGATATCAAAGTGGATATGTAATCCCCAAAACATCTACGAAGGAAAGCTGAGAAAGTCCAATCTTACATGAAATGCTCTCATAAGCCTGTGAATTCATAGTCTTCCCCAGAAAATGACAGCATTTTCAAGAAAGTGACAGTGGAAATGAACCTCCAGCTTAAATCCAGTGGACGGACAAGGAGTCTGTTTAAGTAGCCTAGAAAATCTTGAGCAGTTAATTTGTGACACAATACAACGCATATTTTCGTTGAATTCTATTTAACACATGATGACTTATTAGATAGTCATATTTATTTATACACATAAATATTGTCACAAGGAGGCACCAAATACATATGCACCACACAAATCATTCGATTTGTGTGAGAGCTGGAATAATATCCTGACTGAGGTAGTCATAAAAATCGTGCAAAATCAACAGCTTGGTACGTTAAAATACAAGAAGCCGTTAGAGACCAAACTCTACTTACTTTTGGGAAGAATGATATCTATTTTAAGTGTTTTTACTTGGATATACTCCATTATCTTGATTCTGGTTTTGATAGGATGATTTTTTGTGTCACCCTTTTTGACTCATCATGATGAGAATTTTTTGTGTTATACATAAGAGTGAAATAAAACTTAAGTAACACTAAGTTGCAACACAGTAATTAGAAATTTACTTCATGAACTATGTTAAAGTTCAGTAAAAAGTTACTTAGTAACATATAATCGAATGAACACACAAATACTCAGATGAACATTTTAAGGACATATTTTTACACCAAAAATCACATCCGATATGAACTTACAAATTTTAAAAATTCTAATCTACAACAAAAGCACTCACTTTGAGTGTGGATTCCTTAATGCATCTTTCATTAATTCATAACTCAGAAAATACACTCCAGATGCAGGGACATCTAACAAAAGTGTAAAATGAATAATAGTTATTTTAATTAGTCAGCATGATAATTAAAGTAAATATGATCAATCAACCGGTAGAAATGTCTTGTACGGTTATATGGGAAGTAACTGACTATGATTTTAATCTGATATATTTATTTTTAACCAAATATCAACTCGACTGAGAAAGCAAACATCAGAAAGATTAATGTAAAAAAATATCACGTTCGATTCGTTAATGATATCCAAAATACATTAATGTAACATTCATGAGAGTACAAATGAATAGCGTATTGCCTATTTATAAGTGCCAGCCCCTGATTTTTTACATATATTTGTAATAAATTGAATTATTTATTTTTTTTAAAAATTTAATGTACGTTAATCGAAAAAAAATGGCATAGTATGTCTGAACTAATTTAAAAAGTTGACTTCATTTCATAAAAACTTGTACAAATATAAACAAAGTTTTTGATTTTGTTGACTAAATAATTTACGCTAAGATAGACGAAGTTGTAAACTTTTACAGTAAATTAATTATTACAAGGATACCAATGAAAAATTTATTATCCGTTTTTTGTCAAATATAAGAAATTTAAACAATGATCGGTTACTGATAAGTGACTTATGTCAATATTCGTCTAAGTCATCAATGATGAATAACTATTAATGAACAGGTTGCAATGTGCTTTATCACAGATGGAATTACAAACCACATAGATAATAACGAAGATAACTTCGAAAAAAATAAGTAACAAATAGAAGTGCTCCAAATAGTGAAAATAACCGAAACATAAAGACTGATCAAAGACCAAGTGATTTCAATATAGAGTTGTAAGGTTTTGTAAATTCATTAAATCTTATTAGGTTAACCAGAGGTTGGTAGGTGCAAACTACTTGGTTGAGGTTCGCGTGACTATCGTAACCAATGGTTGGATTTTATTTTATTTGAACACATATATATTGGTACAGGAGTGCGCCAAACATATACGCGCCACACAATTTCAGTTCATTAATTGCGTGTGGGCTGCGTTACTGCCCGGGTGCCCAGACCGAAGCAGGTGGTTCTCTTAGGGGGCCACACCCCGAGCCTTTGACCTAAAGGTCTAATCCACAAGGCAGTGGAGCATCGTAAGGAGATGTAGTCCCATGGTAGACGGTGACCGACGATTGGTTCATACGCCATTTGTTCCCGCAGGATACTGGTGCCCATATGCACCATTGGTTTGGAATCCGCTAAAGCGCCGGACATTCGCTTTTCGTCCTCTCATTTTCGTAAACAACACCCCCGCCACGAGAAGGCAGTGAGTAGGACTTCCCTGGCAGAGGCTGTATACGCGCGGCCGTGTGAGAGTATTTCGAGAGGAAGGGCGAACCCACCCCGCTCTCGGCCATACCAGGGCGTTTGAGTGACATGGTTCAGAACCGATCACAGTGGCGTAGGTGTATACACTCTCTGTCTTCCCTTAAACTAAGAGATTAAAATCGCTTAATATCTTTCTTTCTACGAACTAATTCTTTCTTCCTGTACTATATCCTTATTGCAATCTTTCTTTTATATATTACCACCTCTGAGTTAACTACTTTTATGAATCCGGTGTCCATCTTCTTGTGTTAACGAGGTATGGCAACTTGGACCGATGGATATATGTGCACAATAGAGGGGGTGCAAAATTTTTTATTTTCAATATTTTAAAATACACTTTCCCTAATGTGGAAAATATTAATTGTAGAACCTGAAGAGAATTTATCGAAAAGAATATTCTTCGTTCAAATACTAGTCTTTTAATATGACGGGGATCTTTAAACGATAAAAATATTAAGACCAAAAATGAGTTATGGTTATCAGGACTGGCCACTGCCGATATATATGTAATATTTACGGTCACGGGACATAACTTATGACAGCTTGCTTTCTATATTCTAGGGAAATTTTAACTCTGATTTTATTGAGGGACTATATGAATATACAGTTAAGTGACCATACCTCGCAGAAGTGTTGCAGCTGTTCCCTTGAAAATGCTTCGAATCCCACCTTCGCGATACAACTGACGAAGAACATCAACCGGTCCACTATACTTCAAAGGTCCAATTGCATTCGACTGAACCTAAAAATTATTCAAAATAATATGAAATAACTCCCCAGAGTAACTTTTCGAGTCGAAAAGATACCGTAATTTAAAATCTACTGAGATAAAGTAATCATCAGGAGAACTAGTAAATACACAGCTACATATTTTAAGTATTTGAATAACTAACTACCTCGGAACAGAAAAAAGGGGTTACATTGGCAAAAAAATGATCTCATACTTAGCAGACGAGCAACTAATGACATTACGGATCTATGTAATTTCTTCGCCTTACCGAGCTAGGGTTTTATTGGCCAGAAAATACTCAAATGTAAGAACATGTAACCAAGTAAATAGCATGTTCAAAGGCAACCAAAACACTGAAAATTGTTGCTGACCAAACTATTCTTAAGTACTTTTTGATTTTAGTAGTCCAAACTTATTTTAGTCGTGCATTTAGACCACTGAACAGGCAATCTTTAAGAATAAATGAGAAACACAAAGGTAAACATTGACAAAGGGATTTCTGATTTATGGGCTATTATCAGTGTAGAACTAGGTGATACGCATTGTAATGCGTATTTCATAGCCCCAGAACCAAAATATTTTCTTAACTTTCATCCATTTTTACAAACCCTAGCTGATGGTTAACAAAAGACTGTGTAGTTAAATTTTAACTTAACATTTTACAAACCATCCTTTTCAAAATTGAAAGATGCAACTAGGAATATGAAGCTCTACCAGGAAATGAGGAAGCAACTCAGGCTACATAGTTCTGTATGCAAGGAGTTTTTCGAAAATAGAACAAACTCCACTAACATATTTTACGTAACATCTAAAATGTGTCGCCCAAAAACTATTTGAACATGATAGTCAACCAGAGCCCTATTTCATACGGTAATTTATTCAACCACTTTTGAGGGTGAAAAAATAAACAGTAACACAAATCCGGCTTTATCATTTGTGTGAAATTATATTTAGTATACGTGACTACGTGCACAGGATGCTGTGAAGTCCTAAATAAACACAAATAGCTGAGATAACATAGTTATACCAAAGTCTTACTTGTAATAGGCATTTTATACGCTCTCCTGGAGCCAAGATTGCAGTTGAAAAAATGCCAGAGAACATTCCCGCAAACAAAATTTCATGTTTCCTACAATAATGTAATCACGTGAAAAATCGTATGTACCTTAAATCCATTGGATCCTTGGCAAAAAGCTGCTTACCTAAATTGTACCCAAAAAAGCAAATGGCGAATACAGGAGCCACTCCGGCTATGGGTGCCCCCATCCCCTTATAAAGTCCAAAGATACCATCAGCCGCTACAGTTTTCTTGACACAGTCAAAAGTCCCATAATACATAGGTGCTGTTCCTGATGTTACGTGAGGCATTGTTTGAAGTCGAACCTAAGAAAACAACTTGATAACTTACAGGCAGAATAGCATCTATAAGATTTCTACTAATTATGAATTCCTATACAAAAAACCATATTTTAAATAGGTTCGCTCGAATGAACACTATGACTGATTATGGTAATATACTTCTCCGGGATTAAAAAACCGCCGGAAAACAGGTGGTGGAAAGTTAGTGAAATATAGGAAACAATATGAAATCAAATAACAAACAGAACACCATCAGCTAGACAGAATACTCAGGTTGCGCGATCCGGTTAATTGTCAGTAATTTGGATATTTTAACGTAAAAAGGAAGTTCAGACGTTTAAGAGAAAACTTTTGAACGGTCTAGGCTTGATGTCAAAGCCTCTGAAATAACGAATCACCTCAGAGCTTATAATCTAGATTTCATAGGACAATCTTATAAAGAACGCAACTGGAACGACTAAGAATCTATTCATATTGTAAGCATCTTTTTAGAACTATACTAAGCATAAGAATTCCTCTTGTATGTACGATATATTTAACAAATATACTGGTATTTTAAAAATACGAATTTCTACGCTGCGACGAGTAAATTTAATAGACTGTAAAGCGATAGTGTAAATGAATCAAACAACTATTGTGGTCGCATTATGATTTAGGAAAGTTGAAATCAATGAGCACTACCTAGGAGTGCTTCACATAAAAATATACCACAGACCATCGAACGCCAAATTAATGGTTACCTGAGTACTGAGAAGTGATAAGACATATGATTAACAAGAACTATGGTAGGTAAAACAGGTATAGAAACGAAACCACGACAATCACAAGCTGTGAAAAAATGCGTTTGCAGGAGTGAGGTGGAAATAAATATTTAGTAATTGAGTATTAGATATACTTTTCAAATAATACCTATCTCTGACTACTAAATAAAGAATAATAGGACTGATACAAATGTACTACGAGCCATACATCCGTTTTTAGAAAGATAGAAATGCTAAATCTGTAATAATTTTAGCTAACATGGGGACGACAAAATTAATGTGTATATTAAATTAGAACTACGGAGAAGACAGACTCTCAATTACAATTAGTAAAGCAAACCTTTATTGTGTCGAAAGGGTGACCAATTGCAATGCAACATGCTCCACCGAACCCACCAGCTAAAAAGCTTTTAACCGGGCTAATAACCTGGACTCTAGATTCAGACATCAATTAACGTGAGTAGACTGGAATTCAGACCTCATGTCTAAGGTCAAGTATGTTGTATCCGGGCGAATCAAACAAAAGGTGCAATCCTCAATAACAGGTATGATAAAAGTAATTTTCGTTCCGAGATCGAAAGCAGAAATGCAGTGTTAATGTTCTGCATACTAAGTTAGTTTTACCTATGAAATATCTACTGAATATTATTGGTTTTCAGATTCCATTTTAAAGATCAGCAAGTGTGTCAGACTCTTAGACGGTATATTTGGTAGTGAAAATAGTAAAACTAACACTGATTAATAAATCGATGCCTCTTAAAAATACCTCTAGAAGTTTGGCGATCACTGAAAACATTAAGTGTAGTTACCTTACTTTGCCCAAGCTTTGAAGGCTGACAAGTGTACTAATACATACCAAGACCCTAATCATGCGTTGGTGAGATCGACCAAATAAATCTGACCCTTTACCAGCCCCCTTATCCACTCAAAACTTTATCGATTGATTTTCAACTTTTTTTATTCTACTGGTCTGTGCATTGATGCTCACGAGTATTATTTTATTGTTTGAATAGTCGGTTTACTAGTCCGATCGATACTAATAGCTGGTCAATTATAGTCATGAATAGGTATTATGGTTCATTAAGTACCTTTAGTGACATTTATATGCTTCAGTGGAACGGGTTTGTTAAAACATCAACCACTAGTAAATACGTCGCTCACTCAACGTAAGCACACAGAGGCTAGCAGTCAATGTAAACAAGCATTGAGTAGTTATCCAGATCTAATCATTCACCTTATTCCTTCACTGATCATTTTATTTTGTTTTAAACCATGAACCATCCCTTGAGATCGTTGTTCGGTCAGTGCCTTCCTGATTTCCACGTACTTTTCCGGACTCTATTTATAGTAAATCAACAGCAACCTTTTTCGAAGTTCCATATTATCCTCGTCATGTTCCTGACTGTGGTTCCCCAACTCGTGCCTCGAATTTTTTATTTTGTTTCCAGTCTTTTTCAATTGTCGTATCCTATGATAACTTACACGTTAACCTAGATTACATACGCGTTATATCATAATATCTTAATATCCCCCCAATTTGACTATAATTTTAACCGCCCCTAACGTTTTCCACTACACCCGCGAGGTCTTTGTCTCGCTATGTATTCAGGTCCGAGCTCGTCCGTGACATTATTAATCTAGCAAGACGTTACGCATAGTTAAAACCATGAGCGAAAACAAAGTCATCGCATTAATATATCGTACTGCACTGGTGGAAATATATTACTACATATTATATGCTATAATGTATTAACTTAACTGTAGTTTATTTGTCTGTTATACAAGTACTCAAAATAGAAACTCTGGAGTCCACCTTTACGGCTGGTAAGGAGTTAAAGAATAGTTCTACGTCATGGTTTGTACTGTAACCTGACAATACACATTTCCTAATGTTGCACAAACCACTTTATACGTCTAACACTTCTGAGCACTTAAAATTTGACTTTTTTTGAATGTATAAAGTATTACTATCTTAAACGACATCTATTTTGCACTAGCTAATACCCTTTCAACACCATAACTAGTTATCCATAATGGTTTGCGGATATCGTCATAGAACAATGTCAAGACATACCAATAATGTTATATGAGTAACAAATATGATGAAATTATTAATGCTAACACAGTCGATAAGTTGTATGACAATTTTCAATGAAAAATACTGTTTTCTCGTGGTTATCGTTATCTAACATAGACGATTTCTGTATGTTTTTCTATCAGTTGCTCATCTAATAAACATCCTGGAAACTTGTCAGTCTAAATAGAAGTCTGGCGACACACTCACTCGTGCAAATCATCAGTGTAAACGGTCGACCAAGTCTCCTGGAAACTGAAAACGCTGCCGTTGAATTGATCTTAACACTGAAAAATGTCCATGCTATTATCGTAAACAGGAGTTGGAAGCTATAATTGCCTTGATTACAGTTTATGCTCTCCCTCATAATCACACAAACAGCACTCGCTGTATAATATCCTTTAAAATATTATTTGGCTGAAAATATAGTTCAGTACCATGACACTTATAAGTCTGACTCATAAAAACTACCGACTTCAACAACTCATAGTCACTCAAGCTAAAATAAGTTGACTTCCATCTTATACAGAACTTGACACTTGCAGCTGTCAATTATACCTTACCAATCTGCAGGTAAAATCGTGAATAATTGGTTTATTCCACATCGGAACTTTACGTCTCGAACACATCCTTCGCAGATGTACTCAACTAAGCATAACTTTGATTACTGTCACACACTGAAAGAATTTCTGACGACAGCAGTGGAGTTGAAACTTATCACGGTTAAGCAATAACGAAGACGAGAAAATCTCTCCGAAAACAAATGAACTATAATGAAGCTAAAAAATTAACTGGAGCGCCAGTTGGGATTTCTTTCTCTTCACGATCACAATTCTATTTTCTTAGTTAGTCTACTAATACAGACGTAATCGGAAATCAACACATACAGACAGTATGTCAGGATGAACACCAACTGACTATCAACTTTAAATTAAAGATAGTGCTATTAAAGATTTTTGCCTTGTTGATTTTTTCACTTGATTAGTAATGATCTTAGCACCAAATACTTACACTGTTCCTATGCTGAGCACTTGACCACTGGTTACTGTTATACATTTTGATGTAATTTGTTAGAGTATCTTACCAGTGAAACATTCTATATTATGGCCGTTCCAATTTGTACAATTCTTGAATATTTCCTGCGTATATTTTCACTTTGCAACTACTGAGAATAAAACAAAACATTTTAAAGTTATGACATGCTTTCCGACCACTAGTCGCTTCCGTGATGTTAATCTGTCATACACCTTGTCAATACCTGAAAGATTCTTATTATTCAGCTGGTAACCTCTGGCGCATTATAATCATATTTGGTTTCGTATCAACCTAACGTCACGTTGATTTTAGTGGGAGATTAGAACTGTGGTATTGGTTCCTAATCACACGATCTTTGGATCCGAAATTACCATAACTGGGAAGATCTACATTAAACACTGAGGATAAGAAGAAAGTCAAATGTACTGAATTCGAAAGGATGGAACCTGAACGGCATGGTTCAAATATGCAGGTGTGGCCATGCTATTTAGCTTCATGTGTGACGTTGAATATCTTACTCTGTCCGTTTCAAAAATGTGTTCTCCGAATTCAATAGCTACGGACTCTGACTGTCACGATAGGACGAGTCGGCATGAACTTGTGTATAACTGCATTCCTGAAGAAACACAAATTGTTTGTTCACTTCACTTGAGTACCGAAAAGCTGTTTGTAAATAATAATACTGAAAATATAGATGTGATTTCCACATAAACTCTGGTAGATTAAATCACAGCATCATATCTCACGATTTTAAGTGAGGATTGTCATTCCACTAACATCCAATTGAATCTTAATCTTACATTGGTGAACACGACTAAAAGAACATAACGTGATAAGTACACTAATATCGACCTACGAATTAATCATATACACGAAACGTCTTTTGGTACTTCTTAACATTCAACAATTATCTCAACTTAACCAGTTTTATATTTTACAATACAAGCGTTGATCCCAGATGCTTATCAGCGACTTTTAATAGCTTCATGGGACAATATTCTACTATATGTGTTGTTTTCAAGCAACATACTTTAGATACCTCATTATTTTAACACTACCTAGTTGTTAGAATTGCCTCTGCCTTACCTAGCCGCAACTTATCCAATTCGACTACAAATTTGCATCTGTATTTGCTGACATACACCGATTCGCCTCTTTGCCCCAATTCGCTCGATAAAATTGCAACTTTGTTATCTATGCAAACTGTTAGCAAACTATAGTTGCCGCTTTTTATCGCCTTCTGATATCAAACACCGTTGCAGTTTATATAATAACGATTATCAAGATGATTGACTGGCGAAGTACAGCCTCAACGACATGTCCATGCCATCGAAGTCGACGTTTCAAGATATTGACGCGGATTAAGTTATCGTCACTGCTCCCGAACAGACGATACGGAACCTCTACATTACCAGCATGGTGTTGCCACCGAATGTAAGTAAACCTTCGGAGACAACAATGCACGAACATGGTGAGTTGTTTACCATCCTCTACTCGGTGAGGCCAGGTTTCACAGGCACAGAGCGAAACTGCTCTCACCAATATGTTGCAGATCCAACCTTTTACAGCCAGAGTAACACCACGAAGGCGTGAAAGATGGCGAAGACTGGCGTAAACCACTCTGGCTTTCACTATGTGTGAATTGATCCCATTGCTTACACAACCACCAGCACTTATACAGCTATTTTCATCTGCTCACTATCAAGAGTGCAAGTTCAGGGTTCCGTCAGTTTTGTAAAAGTTCTTTGCACTTGAAAGGTAGAAAGCATATGCCATACCTTCGGACACTGATTGCCAACTGGATAAGTGCAGGTCGCATGTCTTGTGTATCATCACACAGCAAAACAATACCAAAAGTCTTTCTACAGGCAAAAGATCTACACCACTATTACCTACATCCATCAGAGCTATTTCCAGCACGTCACTGATAGCAGAGTACAAGAGCAATGGTGGAAATAGACGACCCAGATTAACCCCACTTCTCGAATGAAACAATGAAGAGTAACGGTTGTATGCCCTCGCTCTACCTGAGATTCTCGTATACTGGGCTCTCAAGATGTTAACAAAGTTCTCAGGCAACCATCCTTCAGTCGACGAACCCAGAGAACAGTCATGTCGAACGAGTCGAAGGCGCCCCAAATGTCAAAAAAACACTGCGAACGTTGGCGTGTGATAAGTCTGTAAGTGTCCCAATATTCAAACTCCGCCTGGAGTCCCTCCGGGGGCTACTGCCGGTCCCAAGCCCGGATAAAGGAGGAGGGTTGGACGTGGGGTTAGCGACCCCACCCCGTAGAACACTAACTCGCTAAAAAACGCTAACCAGAAAAAATTATTCAAAC